CTGAAATTCAGTATATATTTATGGTATCACTCCTATCTTATTATCATTTCAGTAATGGAACATTGGAATACTCTACTAACTGCGGTATGAAATCAAATGAAATCAGTCACCATGTATCAACGCAGATCTGCTTAATCACACCTGTCCCACATTATCAAAATCATAATCACCATGATTCTCTCCCTCTCTCTCATTCAAGTAGATTTGAATAGAGATGAGATGTCCTAACTAGGCAACCAGTATCACCACGATCAAACGATCGTAACGCATCACGAATACACATAGTAGTTGGACAAAAAGACTTAGTGATTGAAGCGAAATAAATATCTGCTCATCAGCTGCTACGTCTCATGGCTTAGTTGGTAGATCATCATGCCAGTAACCTGGAGGTCTCTTATCCCATTCCTACCATGGCAGAGATTTCCAATTCACCTTCAATCATCACCCAGCTATCTCAGATAGTTAGACTGATAATTAAGTGATTTATTAATATGTTACTTTTAAAGAGGTAAGGAATATAAATTAAGCTTCAATGAAATAACTTTGATATAAAAATTACTGTCTGACATATACTCACATTTTTCACAATTTGTCAGAGGTGAAAGTTGTTGTTATCTGTCACTAAACTATTATTTTCTAATAAGTCACTTACTATAAAATATTCCATCCTTATATATACAAGGTTAATGATAAACGCAGTAATATGATTGGTGAAAGAATTTCAAGCAAATACCAACTTTTCAGAATAAACAATTGGATCGCATTTTGAAAATGTTTTCTTATCTAATTCCTTTCTTTTCTACTTTTTACTTATGTTTATTTATCATCTGTGTGAAAATAAAATATTATTGGTGTGTATATTAAGGAGTGATGTACATCCATCTTTTGTTTTGCTATAATTCCAATAATCTTTCAGTTTAATAGATAAAACACTTTTTCTGACTGTTCACAACTAAAAATCATATTTCAGTTCTACTATTGTAGTGGGCGTTTTTGATCAGAATGGATATTAGTAGTCGAGGGTTCGATCCCTGGCGCTTCAAAAGATTTCAGAGAAAAGAGTGGAATGAAGACTTGCTACTGAAGCCCTATGTTCTATTAGGAACCCAAGGGATAAATAATAATAATACAATTGCTGTGTTTACGCTTCTATTACTATGTCATACAGATTAGTACAATTAAAAAGTGGTCTACAGTTGGTCAGACAGTTGCACATAATATCAAGTAAAATGATCCAAGATCTAAATTACCCTAGAACGTGACTCTGCTCATAACCTCACCTTGAGATCATTATCATTTTTACAGCTTTTTGTCATTTGTTAGTGAACTTTTATACACTTCAATGATGTAAAAAGAAAAAGTAATGCAAATATTATTCACTTCTCAATTCCTATTTCCCATCATCTCTTATCACTTATCATAAACCGATAATGTTGTATTTATTGTGTTTCAAAAGACTTTTGGATGATTACAAAATTGATTGCTTAGATGAATAAAGTAGTCAGTATGCTTTTGAAATAATAGAGAATATTTATAGCTCAGCTGGATGGTCTTGGTTGTATTGAAGTTAGTGCTGATGATATCGTTTAGCAAGACAATGAAAGCTTCACGATTAAAAACAACCCAGCTCAGAGAACACAATACAATCAAGATAATCAGTATGCTTTAAGATTGTAGTAAAAATAATTTTTCTATACAGATAGTTTATGATTCCGTGTAATCATTTTCAATTAGGCTTGAAAGTATATAAATATTTTGAACTAAAATGTTGACCATGTTAGTTTAATTTTTAAACTCAACTAATCTCCTCTTCAGTTAATCTTGATAACCTCTAACTAAGATTTCCGTTAACATGTTGTATTAAAATAAACCACACCAAGAAAATGCTAATTTTTCAATTACTTATGATTTAATACAGATAAAATTAGACGGTTCTCACTCTTTACTTTCCCACCATGAACATAGAAAAGTTGTAAATTAGCTATACAATATATTCTATGCTTCATTCTCCCCTGTTTATTTTTTAAAGATCCATAATGAATAAAAGTCTCTATCAGCACTATGAATTAGATGCTTTAAATCCTGTTTACAACAAACAATTAATTAGTGATTTTTAAAGGTTGAAACTATTTTTATTTTTTATTTTCTATATCACTTGATATTACAGAGATGAGAGTTAATTAAAACAAAAGTAAAGTAACCTGAAATATTTTATCTACCTTAGTATCACAAGTGATGTTTCTAATATCCTCTTTTAACTAGTTCGTGACTGAATACATTTACTGGACAAGACTTATATACAAACATTTTGTTTGATAAACGGTGTTGAAAAAAATTCTTGATATCCTAATTGAATCATGGTAATGTTTAAGTGTTATTTACTAAAGTATCTGCATTCGAAAATCATTTAAAATTTAGGCCATTTAACACAGAAACTTTCAGTGAACGTTTTGAGATGAAACGTAACCGTTTCAAGTATTTTACACTAAATTATTATAAAATTCAGCTCCAGTTATTTTCCCCTACATTCTATCGGTTGTTTAATGTTAAATGACAGTCAAATAGTTCAGTAGCATAGATATTAGAGATTCGTTTAGTTAGTCGGCCATAAAACACACAAAGCATGAGGGCCAAGTGTCTGTAGTACCATTATCTACAATGAATACTATCGTGTTTTTTTCAATTCGTTTATACTGATTCGCAGAATTATTCATCCATGACCGAGGATCTAGTGCCCCAGTGACCTTGTGTACAACACTTTGACGTTTGAAGTGATGAGTACTTGGTTTGAGTCCTAGTAGGAACAACATCAATCATTTTGGGTATGAATATATTCAGCTGGCTATCCCTGAATAGAACGAAGCGCTTGTCCTGGATCCAACTTGTAGGAAAAAAAGTAGATTACATAACTTTAAACCTCAAAGACACTTAACTTTGTATTCATTTTTACGGGGTTAAATAAACCTGAGATTAATATCATCTTTTGAAATAAGTTTACTTTCATATTCAATTAATCATTAGTAAACCTAGAATAAAATATGTGATAAAATTAATGAAACCTACCGTGATTGTATGACTTGCCCAGTTCTAATGAAGCATCATTCGTTTTACCAAGCTAACAAAAATTTTGTAGGCAATACTTAAGGAAAAATTAGGTGAAAATCAAAGAAGTTATACTGTGTCTGAATGCTTTACTCAACTTGCCAATTCTGATAATTTCTTCAAACTTTCATATCATCCCAAAGTAGGAGAAATCAGGAATAAGGAGCTCACATTTGGATACGACTACGTAGTAAGGTACTCATTATAATATCGCACCCTGAGCCTAACTTTAACTCATAAATTTAAGTGCTTAAATCAAAGAAGGAAAGTATTTACCACTAAGTCATAAAAAAGAAAATTAGCTAAAATGTCTTTTTACTTGTTGAATTCCTTGATTCTGACACTAAATTTTGGTAGATAAACTGCAATTCACAAAAAGTGAAGACTATTTTACGGCTGTAACTCTCAAGCTTGTAAAAGGATATTATTTTCATTATCAAAACAAACTTAACGCTACAAAAAATTCTTTATAATCTTGATTTATACTAAGGATATAAATGTTTATATGGCCTCTGTAGGCCAAAAGTTTAAGAAATCATTTGCTTAGCAGTAGGAGTTGTAGTTTAATAACTGATGGAGATACATAGATGTATATTGATTCAAACCTCGACTGGAATGTGACCCTTCTGGAGACAGAGGCTGTGCTGAGTGCTGAAACGTTTTGCATTCATGCCAAACAGAACATCCTTCTAGGTGAATTCAAACAATTGGCAAGTTATATACCTCATTGTTTAAAACAAACTTTCACCACCTATGAACTTTATCCGAAATCAGTTCAGATACACACTAGTTATTACAATGTAAACATTTATATTGTTACTGCTTACGGTCAAAACATGTATAATCCTAGATGATAATGATCTCAGGACTTTTAGGTGATCAATATCATATTGGGACATAACAGCTGTTAAGTGATGCAATAGTTCTCTAATCGATGTTCATATGTGTATATAAATTTTATCAAGTCAACTGATTCCCATAAACCTTGAAACTGATTAACAAATAGCAAAAGTGACCTGGCTACATTTTATTGATTTTTATCATCTTATCAACTTTTGACACGTCAGTCAATACCATAAGGATTCCAGTAGTAGATGTGGTGCACTGTACTTTTATACTCATCCGATGAATGAGTATAACTTTCTTTAAACACTCAATCTAAACAATAAAGGCTAAAATGGATAATTATACAGAATTTTATGTTCCACACGTTGACATGGAATGTATTCCTACAAATTCCACAGTCTATATAATCGAGAAAAACAATCTTGATATTTTTAAATACATCATTACATGAAACTTTCATGCAAACAGAATATCTCTGAAATTCAGTATATATTTATGGTATCACTCCTATCTTATTATCATTTCAATAATGGAACATTGGAATACTCTACTAACTGCGGTATGAAATCAAATGAAATCAGTCACCATGTATCAACACAGATCTGCTTAATCACACCTGTCTCACATTATCAAAATCATAATCACCATGATTCTCTCCCTCTCTCTAATTCAAGTAGATTTGAATAGAGATGAGAAGTCCTAACTAGGCAACCAGTGTCACCACGATCAAACGATCGTAACGCATCACGAATACACATAGTAGTTGGACAAAAAGACTTAGTGATTGAAGTGAAATAAATATCTGCTCATCAGCTGCTACGTCTCACGGCTTAGTTGGTAGATCATCATGCCAGTAACCTGGAGGTCTCTTATCCCATTCCTACCATGGCAGAGATTTCCAATTCACCTTCAATCATCACCCAGCTATCTCAGATAGTTAGACTGATAATTAAGTGATTTATTAATATGTTACTTTTAAAGAGGTAAGGAATATAAATTAAGCTTCAATGAAATAACTTTGATATAAAAATTACTGTCTGACATATACTCACATTTTTCACAATTTGTCAGAGGTGAAAGTTGTTGTTATCTGTCACTAAACTATTATTTTCTAATAAGTCACTTACTATAAAATATTCCATCCTTATATATACATGATAGATGTGATATAGACTAGTGTTTCAAAGCATACTATTTGAAGCGATGCTTTTAAAATGAATACAAGGGAACCTGAAACATTTCCAATATGCCTTACAAGGGGAAGCCATTCTAGGCTTCGATTGCTTGATATAATTCATTGAAATTTCGCTTACATAAGTCATGTTATCGATAAGCATACAACTATCAAACCGAACATTTCAGTGTTTCAGTATTTCTTTCGATGCATAAAATTATTTGTCTTTCTCATGAAGAAATTAATTCCACTTTCTTTTATCTAATAAGAAGGATATGAAGATTTTTAAATGTTAAGGAAAAATTCATGATCTATCTGTTTTTAAAAATCTAATTCGATAGTAAAGATGATGATGATTTTTAATAGATAAAATTTATTTCGTCGTTTTGTTCAACTATTTGACCAATATTACTTCAATCAATCCTTCGAAAACAGAGTTACTTTTGGAAATGTGGTAGGTAAACGGCAGAATAAATAAATAGGCAACTTTTTCCTTCAGCTTCAGATGTTAGGAAATGAGGTTATTTATCTTTCTTCTGATATTACTTAACAATGAAGTTAGGTGAAGCATAAATAATTATGCGGCGTATAAGAATCACCAATTGAATGGCTGCTGAAAATCATAAATTATGTTTCTTCTTATAAGAAGTTTTCGGGTTAGCTTTGTAGGCCAAACACCTCATTATTATGAATGGTTTTTTAATGGGATTTTTTAGAAAACTAAAACTCAAGGTTGAAAATACAAACTGGTTTTCATTAACTTCTAAGATTAACACAGTTGCCTCATCCTATAGTACAGTAAAAATCTACAAAACTAAAATGTCCCTTACATCGATTGTTGATTCCGTAAATTTAATAATTTATCGTCTATCGAAATAGTTATCAAGAATTTTGGAGCCATTCTAACATTCATTATATAAGGTATATTTTACTTGTGTAATCCTGGTATAGAAGACTAGAACAAACAACTAAGTAACTAAGTACTCTTTATTTGTTCAAATATACTTCATAGGTAAAATACTAACTCGATAGATAAGTCTTTCTAAACTGTTCAGTCCATTGCTGATCAGGATACTTTCTAGCATCCTAAATGATAAGAACGGACAAGATTTCATAAACAAACTGGTAAATATCAATGCAGATTATGGAATTATGATAAGTTTTGGTATAATTTCTCTTTTTGCTACTATACCAATACTCGAATATAGGGAGTGAAATTAATAAAAATCACACTTTATCATCTGAACATTCACTCTGAACCAAAGACAGTATTAAATCTTTGAAGCTATGTTTATAATCCACATATTTCACGTTTAGAGATAGACTGCGTTATTAGATAAATACAACTGTAATGGATTCGTTGGTATCGCCGATTGTGACAAATATTTGTATGAAGGTAAAATGTTTTCTAGTAGGCAATGGATGAAAACAGCAGCAAGCGTCAATAATAACAATGACATAAAAAATTTATGGATCCCAACTATAATGGTTAATGTTGAACAAACTCGAAGATCTAGAGGCAAAATCCAACAAGCCAACTGAAGGGTCAGAGAAGACAGGACACTATTCAAGTGAATATAGAGAAGACAAAGGTGATGATGATACCCAACCAACGCAATCACCAACAACAACAAAAACAAGCTCCAATCACCGTCAATGCGAGAAATCTAACGAAAGTAGCCTCTTCCACCTACACCTACATAGGCAGCATCATTTCAACTACAGGTGCCACAGACACAGATGAGGACGTCAAAGCCAATCACGATCTGAAAGACAGCAAGACAGACCTTCATTAACTTGAAATCAATGTGGAGATATTCTGCGCTCAGTATGTGGAACGAGATCCGGATTTTCAACACCAATCCAGTCAAGTCAGTACTTCTATGTGATGGTTGAGAGAATTGGCGCGTTACGAAAGGCATTCCCAACAAACTACAGACATTCATCAACAACTGGCTACATTGGCTCGTTACTGAAGCTCATATGGCCAGAAAGAATAAGCAAGGAGGAACTCTGGCTGGCTGGTAACGAACCAACGAAGCAAGAACCTATCACCCAACAAATATGCACTGGAAGGAAGTGGAGATGGACTGGACATGCATTGAGAAGACCATTCGGGGACATCACGCGACAGGCCAGATCGTCAAATGGGATCCAAAGGGGAAACTACGAGTTGGGCGTCTGAGGCGAGGGTGACATGGAGGAGACGGTGTGATGAATAAATGAGAGCTTGTGGGCAGTCGTGGAGCCAGGTTCAAAAGTTTTCAGAGAAGAGTGTGATAGTGACGTGTTACTGAAGCCCTATGTTCCACTAGAAATCCAAGGGACAAATAATAAAGATAATAGTAATCATGCATGTCTGGAGTAATAGGCAGCTTGGCGAACGATACACGAAGGTCTTTAACTTTCTGGATGAAATATGCTCGTCATAATTATAAAAAACTAATTTTTCGTCTGCTTAAACTTCACAATATTTAAAGTAATAAATTACAATACAGTTTTGTTATACATTATTCCAATAAGTTCGGTAAGACATTTCACAGTGGTGTACAAGTACAAGAAGAGTGTGCGGATTGAAATAAGCTTAAAATATCACGTATTAGTGTCTTAAATGTACATCTTATTCGAAGCAATCCTCCTGAAATTAAGACTTTAGTAGAAATAGAAATAGTGCAGAACTCAGAAAGAGACAGTAAAAAAATTATTCAGTTTTAAGGATCTGAAAACGAAATGTATTTGAAAGCAGTGATTAAAACCTCGGTTAGTATTTTTTTTTTCATGGGCGGTTAAATGAAAACTGAAAAATTAATCACTGAGTTATGAGCAACCATCTAGTGACCTCAGGGTTTTAAAAGTTCCCTGACTCATTTCAATCTGTAAGATGACCACACCTATAAGTTAATTGTAAATTCACTGTGCCTGTTAAAATAAGATAAATTTTAAGACATTATGACGACATTTTTTTTCGTAGTGAAATCAAATCAAAGAAGTAATGCCTTCCTAATAACCAATAGGTAAAATTTACGGCTTCAGTATACATCACTACAATCATTGATTGTTATGAGTACAAGTACTGTTCTAAGAGCATTCCACTTTCCAAAAACATGACTTCACAGCAGATTTAAAAAAACTGAATGTATTACTGGGATCTTTTGTCATAGTAAGCATTAAAAAGTAAGTATTATATTATTTTAAGATGGAAGTGAAACTTGGATACTCTAATAGACTGTAATTACATTTCAGTTTGTTTCTTAGCTGTTTCATATAATGATACAGCAACACTCACTTGATAAGGTTTCGCATATAATTTATTGTCATTTTGACTATCTGAGATAACCGTGGTCTAGCGAACTAGTAAAGTAAGAATCTAGTCAGCAGTTGAGCCTCTTAGCTCAGTTAGTAAAGCACCACATCGGAAACTCAGTGGTCGCTGGTTTGAATCCTACCCCGGTCCACATTTTCATATCACACCTTCAATCATCGCTCAATATAAATACTAGTCTGCCAATCTACGGCTATCTTAGATAGTCAAAATGATAGTCAATATGATACTCACCTCTCTAATTCAGTTAGATTTGGATTGATATGACAAGTCCTGACTGATTAGTCAGTCTGAATGCGATTAAGTGATTTCAATGTGTCACGAACTCACATGGTAGCCAAGCGAAACTCTTAGTGATTGAAGTGAAATAAAAATGTGGTCAGCAGCTGCTAAGTCTTGTTTCTCAATTTGGTAGAGTACCGAGCCGGAAATCCACTTGTTGCTGGCTCGAATCCGGCCTCGGTCCTAATTTTTGTTTCACCTTCGATCATCACCCAATAGAATTTATCGTTACTATTCATATCAAGATAACTGCACTACTTTGAGATATGGCTCATATAGTTTTAATTCTCTCTCCTCCTTTGTATTAAGAATAGAATGATTTTTATGTACCTGGAAATTGTGCCAATACTACCCTAATCATGTCCAAAATGTTATGCAGCAACTAATTAGCTTTCACTATACAACACATGGGAAACAAACAAAAATTAAATTATTCCTTTTATTTTTAATTTACTTGACGATTTTTAAATGTGTCCATATAGCTGTTTATACAGTGCAAATGCTCTCATCAATTGACACCCTTGACAACGTACATCTTACAAATGACTCACAAAACTTAAGTTGCTGATTAGCAAGTAAAGAAATATAATTTTTATGGAGATAACTATTCACTACACTTTATCTGTGGGTCTCATTACCGTCAAGTCAATTAGTCTAAACTTGATAGCCTTTAAAGCATAATTCTGATGTTGTTGACGACTCCACTGTATGAGATAAATTGATTTAGGCTACCAATCACCATAAACTTACATCAGTTAGATAATCACTGAAAACCTGAGAGCACTGGAAAGCCGTTTCCTTCTAGTATGGGAATCCATGAAACCACGACCTGTAGAGTCAGCCAGTCAGAAGTGAAGCAGATTTCAAATGAAGATCTTGGGTGATAATCACGTTATATTGCAAACTGACAAAAATAGGAAACTCTGAACCATTTGCCTCCGACCCAGTGGGAGAGCCGTCAATGTGCTCGCAGTGAAAAATCAATGCGCTAAATTAGACCTTAAGCCAAATCGTGAGTTGGAACTGTCAAGAAGAATCATACTAAGACGAAACGACTGCCAAGTTCTCCCAGGTTTTCATTGGTTTTCTAGCTGATATCAGTCCACATGAATGCTGCCTTAAGCACAAGATTCCCATTAAGCTCAAAATACTTTAATTGAATTTGGGTGGTGACTGAAGGTAAAATAAAAAGCTCGACAGCAGCCGGAGTTCGAACAGGCCACCAACGGGTTTCCGCACCTGAGTCCTACCAATTTAGATACGGAGTCCGAGTACTGATCAGTCAGATCTTAATTTCGTTTCAATCACCAACGATTTTGTTCAACTACCATAAG